AAAAATCTGTTTTTGTAAAAATAATAAAAATTTGTAAAAATAAACCTGATATGCAGGTTTATTCATTTAGATAGGTTTATTCTTTTTCCCTTAATCTACATTTCTAACATTTTGCCAGTGACTCCTTGACTTGAATAGAGTAAATCTTGAATTCAGACAGATATTCTTTTGCAGATTCATTTAACTATTCTATGACCTTTGAATTTCTCTGCATATTTTAGAATTAGCTTGCCAATGTCTCCAAAAACTTCCTAGGAGTTCCATTGGAAATCCATTAAATATATAGACCAGTTTGGAGGTTTGAATTTTCCATTCCATAAACATGATATAGCTCTCCATTTATCTAAGCTTTCTATTCCTGAGTCTCAGAGAGTTTATACTATAAAAACATAGAGCTGATAAAATTTTCCAGAATATTTCATGGTTTTGAAATCAATTGTTAGTGGAATTTTATGATTGTCACTTTCTAATATTTGTTACTATTACATAGAAGTACAGTTCATTTGCATCGCATGTTAAGTCTTGATAAACTTGACTTATTAACCTTATTTGTTAGCTCTTTGGTAAATTCCTGAAGATCTCCTAAGTATGTAATAATCTTTCAATCTATATAAGTTTCATTTATTTTTCATGCTTTATCATATAAACTAAGACCTTCTGGACAACATTGATTACAAGTAGGGAAAGTGAATGTATTTTCTTTTGTTCCCAACCTCAGGAGAAAAGATTTCATTTTACCACTAAGTATGATGTTGCCTAGAGGGTTGTTGTAGATCCTATGTATTAGGTTGAAGAAATTTGCTAAAAGTCAAATCACTGTTGAGTTTTGTCAAATACCTTTTCTGTAGCTGTTGAAATGATGGTGTGGTCTTAGTCTTTTAATCTATTATTATGATACTTTGAGTTTTCTAGTCTGTGATAAACCCTACTTGGTCATGGGGTTCTTTTTGTATTATTTTTGTTTTTTTACTATTTAATTATTTTCATTATGTTGATGAGGGATATTCTATAGCTTTCTTTTCCTGTGATACCTTGATCTGGATTTGGTATTAATGTCACACATACCTCATGAATGAATTTGGAAGTGTTTCTGTCTACCTTTTCCTTTGTACTTGAAGAGTTCATATAGGATTGGTTTAATTTTTTTTCCTTAAAGGTAGATGATTGTCTATATTTTTGAGGTCTTTCTCTCATTTTGGTATCAGAGATAATGGACCTATAAAATGACTTAGGAATTGTTTCTACTTTCTTTTTACTGAGCTATTAAGTATTAGCATTGGTTCTTAAAATGATTGATTGAGTTTACTAGTGAAGTTGGGGTTGAGAGTAATTTTAAATACAAATTATATTCTGGTTTTCTATTTCTTATTTTACCATATTTGACAATCTGTAAACTTCAAGGAGTTTGTCCATTTTTTCTGGTTGTGAATTTTTTAGCATAATGTTTTCATAATATTTAATTATCTCAATATCCATAAGATCTTTAGTGAAATCCCCTCTTTCATTTCCAATATTGATAATTTGTGACTTACTTCTTTGTATTCTTTATCTGTCCTTTTTAGTGGTCCAGTTTTTCTTTCATTGATTTTTAGTTTTTATTATTTCTTATCACTTGCTTTGCTTAAATTTTATACAAATTTATTCGTATAGCTTTTGAAAATAAAGCTTAAATCATTGATTTTAGACTTTTTTTTTTGCAGTACTGGGGTTTGAACTCAGGACCTACATACACCTTGAGCCACTATACCAGCTCTTTTTTGTGATGGGTTTTTTCAAAATAGGGTCTCTTGAAGTATTTACCTGGGCTGGCTTTGAACCATAGTCCTCCTGATTTCTGCCTCCTGAGTAGCTAGGATTAGAGGCGTAAGCCATCTGCGCCTAGTTGATTTTAGACTTTTCTTATTAAATACTTGAAGGTACAGTTATTCCCTAAAGTTTTTCATATGTAGTATTTCTATAATCATTTAGTTTAAAATATATTCTGATTTTCCTTTTCTTATATTTTTGACCCACAGTGAGTTAGAAATGTGCGTCTTGATTTCTAGATATTTGGAGTTTTTTACATACCTTATTATCATTGAATTTTAAATTAATTCCATTGACTTTGAAAACATATTTTTTTTTGATTAGCCTATGGTCTATCTCGGTGCATGTTCCATATGCACCAAAAAAGAATGTACATTTCTGCATCTATGTGAGGTAATCAATTAGTTAAAATATATGAAGTCATTCAGATTTTCTATTTCCTTAATGATTTTACATTCTAGCTGAACTACCAATTGCTAAGAAAAATGCAATAAAATCTCCAAATAAAATTTATATCATTTCTATTTTTCTGTTGTTATTCCCATTTTTTCACTTTCTGATACCATATTTTCCTTTAATACTTTGAGTGTATTTGCAATAGCTGCCTTAAAACATTTTCCTGTTAAAGTCAAGCATTATATTTTCCTAATAAGTCATATTCTGTAATTCTCTCTCTCTCTCGCAGTATAAGTATTGAAATAAGGGCCTCCTGCTGCTTGCTAAGCAAGTGTTGTACCACTTGAGCCATGCCCCTCACCTATTTTGGCTTTTGTTATTTTCCATGTAGGGTCTCATGCTTGTCTGGCCAGCTTCAGTCATCTTTTTCCTATGCCTCCCACATAGGTAGGGTTACAGGCATGTATCATTTCGCCCAGTTTGTTTGTTGAAATGGGGGTGTCACTAACTTTTTGCCTGGGCTGGCTTCAAACCATGATCCTCCCCATCTCTGCCTCCTCATTAGCTGAGATTGCAGGAGTGTACCATCATTCCCAGTCCACATTCAGTATTTTTCATTTAAAAACTACTCATTGTAAATTATGCATTTTTTTTTAAATTTTTATTTTATTCATATATGCATACAATGTTTGGGTCATTTCTCCCCCCTTACCCCCTCCCCACTCCCTCCCTTACCCCTCCTTACCCCTCACTACCAGGCAGAAACTATTCTGCCCTTATCTCTAATTTTGTTGAAGAGAGAGTATAAGCAATGATAGGAAGGACCAAGGGTTTTTGCTAGTTGAGATAAGGATAGCTATACAGGGAGTTGACTTGCATTGCTTTCCTGTGCATGTGTGTTACCTTCTAAGTTAATTCTTCTCAAACTAACCTTTTCTCTAGTTCCTGGTCCCCTTCTCCAATTGGTCTCAGTTGCTCTAAAGTATCTGCTTTAGTTTCTCTGTGTTGAGGGCAACAAATGCTATGTAGTTTTTTAAGTGTCTTACCTATCCTCATATCTCCCTTGTATGCTCTCGCTTCATCATGTGATCAAACTCCAATCCCCTTCTTGTGTTTGCCCTTGATCTAATGTCTACATATGAGGGAAAACATACGATTTTTGGTCTTTTGGGCCAGGCTAACCTCACTCAGAATGATGTTCTCTAGTTCCATCCATTTACCTGTGAATGATAACATTTCATTCTTCTTTACAGCTGCATAAAATTCCATTGTGTATAAATACACATTTTCTTAATCCATTCATCAGTGGTGGGGCATCTTGGCTGTTTCCTTAAGTTGGCTATTGTGAATAGTGCTGCAATAAACATGGGTGTGCAGGTGCTTCTGGAGTAACCTGTGTCACAGTCTTTTGGGTATATCCCCAAGAGTGGTATTGCTGGATCATATGGTAGATCTATGTTTAGATTTTTAAGAAGCATCCAAATTTTTTTTCAGAGGTTGTACTAGTTTACATTCCCACCAGCAGTGTAAGAGGGTTCCTTTTTCCCCCTCATCCTTGCCAACACCTGTTGTTAGTGGTGTTGCTAATGATGGCTATTCTAACAGGGGTGAGGTGGAATCTTAGTGTGGTTTTAATTTGCATTTCCTTTATTGCTAGAGATGGTGAGCATTTTTTTATGTGTTTTTGGCCGTTTGAATTTCGTCTTTTGAGAAAGTTCTGTTTAGTTCACTTGCCCATTTCTTTATTGGTTCATTAGCTTATGAAAAATAATACTAAGAGACCAACTATAAGCTGAAGCTAGTTTCATTTTGTAATGGACTCTCATTACATTGTTTGTCCAAGAAACCTTCTGAATTGTCATGTAATTGTTAAAATTCAGAAAGAAGAAAGAATAAACGTGTAATAAAAAGCCAAGAACTATTTACTAGGAAAGCAGATTGAATACAAATTTAGGAACTCTATCAAAGTAAAATCTTCAATTGTTGGATTTTTAAACCCCAAATCAGAATGTGGAAGTGATGCTAGTTTTACAAATTTTATAAACGTTAACCATCAGGCTGCCTACATAAGAGTGCTTAATTCTTGTGACCTGAAAAAAATGTGTGAGGTTGGGTGTTGGGTTACAGTGGCAGTTTTAGAGGTACAGTGCTTGAGAAAATAAGCTCTACAGAGAAAAAAGACTTCACTTCTTTTGATATGCTGATCATACATAACCCTCTGAATTTTATGCATTTTAGAATGGTGTAGTAGTTGGAGAATGATCTTTGGAATCAGAAAGTTTCTACTTCTCACTGACTATCTTACTGTGCCACAGGAAGACAGGAATGATTACCTCACCTCATACTTATTTTAAGGAGAAAAATTGCAAAACCATGTGAGAGTGTACCAAGAAGGCAGGGAGGGCAAGGAGATAATGAGAGGTAATGAGTGCAACAGTGAAACAAACAAACAAAGAAAAACAGATTTGAGGAATGTCAGGTAGCACCTGGAATGAGACCAGAGAAGGAAGGGTCACCTCGCCCCAGAGGTTAAAATGGCCAGTGAAATAATATGTGACCATGTATGGGATAAACTGTACCTCCATTTCTGTAACCTGATCTAAATGGTATATAAGGAATGCCCTCTTTGTTCTGGGAGCTCAGCCTTTAGACTTGAGTCCACTAAGTCACTGCTGGCTTGTTTAATAAACTTGCTTCCCGGAAGCTTTGGTGCACTGTCTCTCTGTCTAACCCATCCTACAAGAGTACTTTGTTTCCCACAGGATTCTGAGTGTAATTTTTTTTTTTCTTTTTTACAGAAGAGGATAAATATAATATTTACTCACCTCTGCTCTTCAAGTATTTCCTGGCGGAAGGAATTATCACTGGGCATACTTTGTTGGTTGCTTCTGCTAAAGAAGACCCTGCTGACATTCTACGGGTATAGACTATACTAGTTCAATATTAAATTTTGTATGTTTTATAGAAATGTTTCTATATATAAACAAGATGCATGTTTATTTACAAACTATTTTTAAATTCATTAACAGGACCATACTTTTTTTGGGGTGGGGGGAGTGGGAGGGGCTTGTACCTGATCTCACTGTGTAACTCAGACTGGCCACAGATACACAGTGCTCTTGTTTTAGCCTCCTTATGCTGGAGATATGTATCACCAAATATGGCCATATTCTTTTTAAATTTCAATGAGAAGTAGCACATTCACTTGAACATAGAATTAATTTTAGATTAGTGTTTTTAGAAAGTTATTTAACTTGAATTTCATATCAGATGTGAGGAAATACTAATACAAATTTAAAACTGACACTAAATAAAATTCTTGGACTAAGAATTCATGAAAGTCATGTTCAATAGCAAAGAATTCCAGATTATACTACCTACTGAAAAAGGAGGAGAACCATCCTTTAATTTTTTTACTTGTTATTGTAATTTTCTTGTTTTGACATAATCTTTTCCATCCCTATCACTGCTTTGCTTGAGCAGATTTTCCAAAATTTATGTTTTTTTCTTTATGCCTCACACAGTATGAATTAATTATTACTTTGAGGAATTCCTTTAAAGAAAGTTGAAATTTTAATTTTCATCTTGAAACTACTAAAAGTGGAAGAAATCACTACCATATGGTAAACAAATAATGGAATGAAAAGCAAAAGGGTATCTTTATAATCATCATGTTTTCTGATAAGACAGTTTACTATTTATGTTTTTCCTTAGCTTAAGGAAGAACAAACTGGTTCCCAGGTACCACAATATTTTGCCTTTTTAATGAAAGCTTTAAGTTTTATTCTAAATGCCTCTAAGAAAATTCAGATGTTCATATATACAAATATTGTTATATCACTATGCCTATTGATATATTGAATATATTATGTATATTCATGAGAACTCTAAAAAAAGTTAGGTTAAAAAAAGTAATTTTAGAATGTCTAATATATTATAAATATGCCAAAGATATAAATTAGAAAAAAGATACAGGAATTAGAAATACTTACTATTAATACTATTTTGCTCTGAAAATGCCAGAAGTGATTCTTTTCCAAGAATAAGCAGTAAGGATAAAATGTAATTGATGCACTTTATCTTTTTTTAAGGCAAGTCTACTTTTTACTTCATAGAGAACAGTTCTAACTTACAGTTCTAATTAAGAGTTCTTAATTCATTTGTCCATAATAGAACCCCAATTTATGCCATTACTTAAAATAGAATTCAAATCTGAAGTCTTACTTCAGTACATAGTCTATATGATGGCATATGTGTAAGGCATTTGTGTTAGCATTCTGTTGCTGTGGACACTATGTCTGACACAATCACCTTTAAGATAACAAAGGTTGACTTTGACTCCTGGTTTCAGAGGCTATCAGTCCATGGTCACTGGTCCCATTGCGTTAGGCCTGGGGTGGCATAGTACTAATGGTGGGAGTGTATAGCAGAGAAGATCTGTTTACTCTAGCTGGGAAGCAGAGAGAAAAGGGGGAGGGTCCAGAGTTCCAATATCTCTTTCAAGGGCACAGACCATCACATACCTTCTTTTTACTACACCCCGTCTCCTAATGGTTCTACACCTCCAAATAGTTGCCATAGGTTGGTAACCAAGCCTTTAACACATGGGCCTTTTGGGGACACTGAGATTCAAAACATAACATCATTTATAAGGAATTTGTAACATAATAAATCCTAATTTGCAGCAACTATCACAACAAAAAAAAAACAAACTTCTACCACCAAAGATAAAAGTTACTAGAATACTGAGGTCAGAACTAAAATGATTCTTTCATAGAGGTCAGACATTTTTCTGTAATAATACTGCCATAAAATCTAAAGGAGAAACCATTATTCAATTGATTTTCCTCTGACAAGACCTATTTCAAGCTTCTATCTTTTTAAAATTTTGTATCATTTTTAGCCTAATGAAAGAAAGCTCAAAAATATTAGTAACAATACTTGATGGATTAAGATATATTGTAAACATCATATGTAAAAATGTCATAATCTATCATCCCCTACAAACACTATGTGCAAATAATGAAGAAGTGATCCAAAAAAAATATTAATAGAAGTACAAAAATATGTAGCACCCAACAGATTAAAAATAAACTGTCTAAACCAAATTAAAACTTAGTAGGCATATAAAAAATGAAGAAAATACAATTTATGAGGGTAATAAACAGTTATAATAAAAAAGAAAAGCCACAGATGATAGATTCAATCAGTAGGTAAGAATATAAGCTTTTGTTTAACTGTATTCTGAATATTCAGTAAAGTCAAAGAAAGATTTAGCAAGTTAAATGGAGACATGGAAGACGAAAGCATTAATTGAAGTTCTATAGATTAAAGTTAAAGTATCTAATGAAAAATACACTTAAAGGTACAGATAAATTAGACAATGAGGAGCAAAAGATTAGTGTACTTAAATATACAGCATTTGAAATTATCCAAATTGAAGGAAAGAACAGACAAAAAGGATTATTATATCAGTGAACTGTGACTAATTTGAAATGCCTTAATCCATGATTGTCATCCTTAAAGTGGAAGGACTAGGACAAAAAAAGCTTTTTTAAAGAAAATTCAGTGAAATTTCCAAAAATAATGAAAATTATTTATCCTCATTTCTAAGGTCCTTGACAAACACCAAGTATAAGAGTCCTAAATAAGGCAACATGAAGTCCAGTCATAATTACTTAAAGGAAATACTTAAAAGGAAATCTTGATAGTGGCTTGAGTTAAAAAGCATGTTATATACACAGGACTGAAGATAAGAATGACAGCAGACTTCTAGTCTGTAATGCAAGCCAGAAAACAATGGAGGAGTCTTAACAAAAATTTTCAATCCACTATCAATTCAGAATTCTATACCCAGCAAAAGTGTCATCAAAAAATAATAGCAAAGTTTATTTCACAATAAAAGGGCTTGTTTTTACTTGAAAGCAAAATAAAGATTTTTTTTTTCAGCTGTTAAAATCTGGAAGACTTTATCACCCCCAGGCCTCACTATCAGAAATGTGAAAGAAAGCCATGCATTGTAGCTCATGCCTATAATCCTAGCTGCTCAGGAGGTAGAGATCAGGAGCATTGTGGCTTGAAGCCAGCCCAGGCAAATGTTTGCAAGACCCTACCTGGAAAATAGCCATCACAACAAAAAAGGTCTGGGGGAGTGGCTCAAGTTACAGGCCCTGATTTTAAACCTCGGTACCAGAAAAAAGAAAAAGAAATGTTAAAGAAAACTTTTCACATGAAGCAGAATAGTAACAAATGGGTATCTGGTCCTAAACAAAGGGATCAGGAGCCCTGAAAATGATCATGTGAATAAATATATCAGCCTACCCCCCTCCATTTTGCAAAGCTAATGGTGAGAAGGGATGGTACAAGGAAAAAGGTAAAATTTGGAGGGGTATACAGATAGTCACTGTCTTGATTGTGTTAATGGTTTCAAAGGTATACACCTAAGTAAAATATTACCAAATTATACACTTTATATGTGGATGGTTTTTTGTATATCATTTATACCTTAATTAAGCTATTTCAAAAAAATCAAATTTTAGAGTTAATAAATACATATTATCCAATTCTCATTTCTTCTGCTTTTTAACAACTTTAGCAACTTTTTTTATTTGTTATTTTCTCTTTTATAAAAGAAGAATAACAACCGACCTTGTGAAAGTCTTCAAAGTATGTGATAGCCGACTAGAAGCAGACAGATTTCTAATTGTGGGGGGAAACTCTTAACACAGATTTTTCCCTTTACATTAGTTTCCCTAGCAATTTTGATGTGGATAAAATTTTGTTTAATTTAGAAGACTAATTAAAATGGTTGTTTCTCAGGCCTCGTCTAACTTGGCTTATCAGCAGCACTCGGTATCATTGATCACTTCTTCCCCTGGCTATGCTTTATCCCTTGGTTTCCAAGTCCTTTCTTGATGTTCTTCTACTCACTGACCACTTTTTCTCATTCTTCTTTGTTAGTTCTTGCTTAGCTTTCCAAACTCTTAGGTGTCCCAAGACTTAGGTCTTAGAACTCTTCTCTTTTCTGTCAAAATTATCTTGCTCATCACATTCTGTTCCAAGATGTCAAGACTGTTTATATACTGATGACTTTTAAATTTATATGACTGCATAGATTAACCTGAATTCCAACTGCCTGCTGTAATCTGTGTGCATAATACATTTAACTGCCTGTTCTATATGTTATTTGTGTCTATTTAAGATCTCAAATTTAACATGCTCAAAACCAAACTCCTGATCTGCTTTATCTCCTAATCCTTTCATCCAGTTTCTCATGAAGTCCAAGTGTGTCTATTTTAAACATAATTACAACCGCTTTGAACTGAAATTATTTATTGCCGGCCTCCCTACATCTATCTTTGCTTCTCTATAGTCTCTAGCCTCTTCAGTCTGTAATCTCTTCTCACTAGAGCATTTAGATACTCTTCAAATGGACATCAGATCATCTCACTTATCTACTCAAAACTATTCAGAGGCCAAGAATCAAGTTTTTATAATGGTCTTAAAGGCCTTAACTATGATGCTTTCATCTCCCTTTATGTGTCTGGCCTCTACTTAGCATATTCCTATAACTTTATTTTGCTTACATTTACTTTCTTGCCTGCTAGGCATGCTTCAAAACCAGGGCCACTGAATGTGCTGTTGTATTTGCCAGGAACTCTTTTGCTTCTATAAGATTTTATTCAAATGCTGCTCTCAGCAGTACTTAACCTAATGTTGCAACTCCCTAGTCCAACTCCCCAGGTCTCTAGTCCTCTTTCCTGCCTTGTTTTCCCACAGTCTGATCATCAACTGGTATACTTGCATATTTGTGTATTGTCTTACTCCTCATGAGGGCAGAACCTTTATGGTTTAATTCACTTATATGATTCTATTGTCTATTACAGTGATATGGACAAATGAATACTTAATGTATATAAAAAACACAAGGAAATAATAAAATTAGAAAATCTTTATTATGGTTAACTGGGTAACATGGTACCCAGATATTTGGTTATTCTGAGTGTACCTGTAAGAGTGGTTT